CGTCGGAGCTAGCAGCGGCTGCTCGGCGGCGTAAACACGGTCGTGAGAGAACGTCGTTGATGTGTAGGCGCCGACGTTCTGACCTTGAATGTAAGGATAGAGCACATTCAAAGTCAAAAACATGCTGTGTGTGAACATGAAGCAGCCTGTAGAAGAGAACGATACCGAGAGAAGAACTGACACGCTTGCGCGAGCCACAAATTTGTGCAGCGCGTCCCCGAGAACGTGTTTGGTGCTATCGTCGGTAACAGGTTAAATGTAGTAGACGCTCCTCCTATCTTTTTCCACATTAGCAGAGCGAACGCCGGAGAGGAGGTCACCTCTTCTCCATCGTTCGTTCTGCTAAAGTCGACTGAGGTGGGAAAATTGGAAAGGGGGTGCGAGCTTCCACTTTACTCTTAACCTGTCATCGACTGTAGCTGCTCTGTGCGTGATCGGTTGTGGTTTACGCGAAACACCGCGCGATGCAACAACACGAGAATTTCCAATCATTGACGACGCTACATTGTCGCGTATGGAAAAGGATAGGCAGAAGTAAAACCAAGATGAAAGGCTTAGTCGGAGAACTTGTGCCGAAAATAAAAGAATGAACGAGCGTCGAAAAAGCTGCGGCGCGTCGATATTTCGGCGTGACAGCTTGTTAGCGCGAGAGTCCCTTACTCGTCAAGGTCATGTCGGACTCTTATCTAGTACTCTCGGTATCTCGAACATTCGGCCTAGAATGTTCAAGCGTCCAGCGTAACGTTCTCTCTTGTGCACGCACGCAGCACTGCCCCCCCCCCCCCCTCCCCTTTTAAGAAGGCGCGTCGTCCCGGTGCAACTTAAAAGAAAATAACACAAAGCAAAACCAAATGACGGTACATAGTAAGCTGCGGGGTCGTCTGAAGTACGCAAATACTTGATTCAGGCGGCAGGTTCACGTAGTTGGCAGTGATTAAAACTGCGGCTCGCGTCGTTCCGGCTTCCTCCGGAGCCAGGACAGGTTTTTGCAGTGTCAAACGGTTCGCTCCGAGGAGCAGTCCGCGCCGGTGCCCAAGAGTTCCGATGTGTCGTGACCGTCGATGATGACGTTGAGGTTGTTCGACACCTCACCAGACGCGTCGTTTCGATGCCTGGCGTCGTTAGAGTGGGTGCCCTTCGACGTTCGTGAATGGTATTTGCGTTGTTGTTTTTGAGCAACTCCACCTCCGGGGGTTGCCGTGCTCAGTTTCTGCGACGAGAGACGAGGGGCGGGTTTCTGACGACGAGGTTTTTGCGTCGGCGAAGTTGGACGTTGGGGTGACGGCGACCGGGCCTGCAGCGAGGTGTAGGCGGGGGAGTCTCAGGTCGTCGAAGGTGCTCGTTGATCTCCCGCGTTCGCTCACCGTAGCGTGGCAGGAGTCCTTTCGGTGGATGCCGCGCAGCCCTAGTGTCGGGCAGGGGCAACCGCAGTCTATGAAGTTTGCGTCGCCACCGTTTCCGCACAGCGGGCGAAGGTCGGCCGTTCGCTACACGTCGGTCTTCCTCGACGTAGGTGGTTCCGGGCGGATGTACTGGGCCCGGTCGTGTTGGCGTCCGACGTACTCTAGTGTCGGGGTGTTCCCTGGAGGCGGCACCGAGTACTACAGGGTGAAACAAGGAGACGGCAGGCTCTTTAAATCGACCGGAAAATTCGGTTTCTTAACCTATCGCGCTACGACTTTGTGCAGCGGTGCCAGCAGATGGTGCATTGTTTTTGTAAAATTTGCAAAGAGCGAACTTACCCGAGCAAAAAGTAAAGAAAGAAAAAGGCTTAGCTCCTATGGAAACGCAGCGACGCCAGCGGTCTTCAAAGACACCGCGCCGTTTCGCACGGGAGACAAGAGATGGCGCGACGAACGCCGCCAACGAACGAGCATACGGCGCCACGAGCCAGCGTCTTTAGCAGACAATCTTTTCGACTCAAAAGCGGCGCGCGTTCCGCAGGCGGCGACAGTTGCAGAAACAAAAACAGGCACGGTAACAACAAGGAACTGCAGTTTCTTGTCTGCTAATTACGCCGGCTCTCGGAGTCGTCTGCTCGTTCGTTGACGGCAGTTGGCGTCGTGACCGCTTGCGCCACCTCTTGCCTCCCGTGTGAAACAGCGCTGTGTTGTTTGCAGACCGGTGGCTTCGCTGCGTTTCCATGGGAGCTAAGACTTTTTCGTTCTTTACTTTTTCCTCTGGTAAGTTCGTTCTTTGAAAATTTTACAAAAAAAAAATGCACCATCTGTGGGCAACGCTGCACAAAGTCGTAGCGCGATAGGTTAAGAAACCGAATTTTCCGGTCGATTTAAAGAGCCTGCCGTCTCCTTGTTTCACCCTGTAGAATTCGCGGCGCACGTTACCGCGGAGCTTCCTCAAGTGCTGTTACTGGGTTGATATGATCCCGTTGAACGACTCGCTGGACTTCTTTTTGTAATATTTCGGGAATGAAGAGAGAAGCCGGGCAATCGGCAGCAAGAAGCAATTTCCTGAGCTCCTCCCTGTTGACGCTGCGGATAATTTCTGAAATTCCCGGAAGGAGGTCAGTGCCGGAATCGATGCTAGCCAACGCGGGGGCAGCGACGTTGGGCAATAGCTGGTAGTTATTTTCTCGCGCTTGGATAGCCCGCTCAATGATTCTGACCTCCGTCACGAATGCCTCGACGGGAGCCGGCGGGTTTTGCACGAGGCCCCCGAGGATACGTTTCTTTACTCCTCGTATGAGGATGTTAAGCTTCTTCGCCTCCTGCGGTTGGGGATCGGCGCGGTTGAGTAGTCGGACGACGTCTTCAACGAAGGCGACAACGCTTTCATACTCTGCTTGAATTCTTGTATGAAGTAGTTGCGGAACGTTTTCGACGCTGCTGGCTTGCAAAGGCATGACGCAGCTGCTCTTTGCACGTTTCCCAGGAGGTCATTGACGCATCGTGGTTTTCGAACAAGATACAGTGAGAAGTAAATGTTCTGGAGTCTCTGCTTTTGTGTCCATTGGTTATGCCCTGTCACCCGTTTGTACTGCTGTATCCAGTCGTCGACGTCTTCGTAAGCTTCGCCGTGGAAGGGCGTCGGCGTCGCAGGTGCATCAGAAGTGGTGTCTGTTGGCTGGCCCTGGGAAAGCATCTCAAGGTTCGGTGACTTCTTCCTCAACTCTTTTACCAATGGACCCCATTCCAACCGCTGGTCTTGAGTACAGCAGCTTGCTCGGGTTTCGCATGGCTCCACAAAAGGAAGTTCTCCGGGGCTTGAAGTCCATCTGGTACAGGGCTCCTCGGGGGCGTACGACGAAGAGTCATATAAAGTTGCCCCACACCTCCACCGGAGTTTTCGCGGATGGCAGAGGATTGGCGAACGTAAAACTAAAAAGAAAGGTTTAATCAGTGAACTTGTGCCAGAAACAAAATACAGAACGAGCGTCGAGGTGTCGGCGTGACAGCTGTCTGGCACGAGAGTCTGTGACTCAGAAAGGTCATGCCGGACTTCTTATTTAGTACGCTCGGTACCTCGAATATTCGGCCTAAACTTTTCGAGCATATAGCTAGGGCGAGGCTGACACGGCAAGACCATGTTGGCCTTGTTATCTTTTACACTCGGCATCTCCAACATTCCTCCTAGAATTTTCGGGCGTCGAACAATTGGGGTAAGAGTAAACATGAATATTCTACAAGAACGGAGTAACGTTCCCTCTCGGCCATGCACTCGGCGATATCATCGAAATGTCGCACCAGCTGGCGCTGTCTATTCGCATCACCTGACGCGATTGTCCGCCTCATATTCTGTCCTAAATTGGTACACTAATGTATACTCCTTGACTGTTGAGCGTCTTAAAAGGTTCTAAGGACGTTAAAGCAGCGAATAAATAAAGAAGATATAGTTTCTCTCAACAAGCGGTTAAAAGAGACCACTTGTGCAGACTCGTGCCAGGCCTGGCGAAACCCTGAGGCAGAGGAGCTGCGTTCTCAAAACGTGCTTTGGGAACAGCTGCTGTTGCCGACCTTGCTAGAAATATGGCCCCCGCTAGGCAATCTTCATCGAGCTGTGTTCGCGCTACCGCACCGCCATGTGTCACCCTTAAGTTAGCCCAGCTAAAACCCCTCGATAAAATTCGCACTTGCGTGGCGTATCTTACAAGTACCTCAAACCATTGTTGTGGCAAGGCGTAAGACAGACGTCACAAGCGAATGCTCCGTCGCCATTCGCTTCCGAAGACCACTACTTTCAGTATCGTCGCAGTCATTTGCTCCCAAGGCTTGCACGAGGCGTGTGTTGCATTGGCCGCTACTTGCAAACACAAACGTATCAAAAGGCTTCAGGCCCAGCAATGCCTCCTCAACGCTAGTCTCTTCAGGCCCAGCAATGCCTCCTCAACGCTAATCTCTTTTAGTCCCCACTGTACCAGTCAAAGTCATTGCTTGCAACTGCCTGCATCCCCGGGTTTTCTTCGATGAAGTATGGAAAGAAGTGAGGTTCTTAGATACTATTTACGTAACCGTGATGTGGCTTGACATCACCTGGAATTAGTCATAAGCGTATATTTTATCTCGCAAATACTGCAGTATTTGCGAGATACTAGACTGGGGGTCTTGCATGCAAGACCCTCAGTCTAGTTATAAGCAGATCGAAAATGCGCCAGCACTACCTGAGAGATGTCGTCAGTATGTCAGTGTCTTCTCAAGTCGTAAGCGGGCACAAGAGAAAGCAGCATAGCCGAGTACACACTCAAACGCAAGTGTGTTAACCAGCCTTCCCGCTTTTCTAATCCTTGGGACCGACGGCAGAAAGAAGAGCTCGGTGCCGCCCTCACGACCACGAGTCGAAGCTCGGAGCCGGGGCCGCCATCCTTCCCACTGCTTCCACGCGAGGCCTACCTGTCCGGGCGCCGGTTGTTCTGCGTGTTCAACGCGGATCGCTGGACGGACGGTTCCCGCCTGCGGCGACGCACGGGTCGCGGCGGTCTGGCGTACGGCATCGAGACCTTCCCGTACCACCTGTGCACGGACGCGGTGTACTGCTGCGCGGCCATGGGCACGGAAGGCGGGGCGCTCAAGGTGGACACGTTCATGCCGCTTCGCTTTGCAGCCCTCAGGTTCAAGAACCCGCAGGTACGACGCAATTCCTATGCTCTATGAGCTTCCTTGTGCCATAGACGTTTTCTAAAATAGAATTACCATAATTCCGTTATTGTTGCTTCCATGCCGAAGCCTGGACGGGAGCGTGTGCCGTTAAGGGACCGGGGTAGGGTCGACTTCCCCCATCATCATACCTTGTTGCACATTAGGTACCATCGCAACTAACACTATGTCATCCTTTTTGTGCATTTTATATTATTAGTTTTAGAATTATGTATAGGACCAAACGCTACCGCTGAACGTTTGTGTTAGCCTTGCATGTTCCACCCTGCGTATGCGCGTCCGCTCCATGCGCGAATCCACTAAGCGGGCTGGGCGCTCCGCGTACGCGCAGTGTGGAAAGCGCATCGCTAAAAACGCACAGTGCTTGTGTCTGATCGTCTAATACTGCAACTAACTAGTCAGTTCGCAAATAGCGCATGTAAAAGCTTTCCGTACACAGGAAAATTGCGTCATCGCCATGTGCCCATCCAAAACGCGGTTTGCGCTCTGCGCATGCCTATTCGTGACGACGCTCTTTATTTGCGTACGCGAAACTTTTTTTGTCCGCTATTCGAGAACTCGCTATCACCGGCCGAGCTATCGGTGCACACTGCAGAGTGAGTACAGCGTCATTCGGCGCTTTTTCTTTGCGTGAATGGCTAAGCCGGTCATAGCGAACCCGCAGAATAAACAAGCGCATGCATGACGATGCACATTGGCCCTGCTCGATTTGCTCCATTGAACTCCGGCTAAAATACTTTTGATGAAAAAGGATAGACAATGCCAAATTCCTATCCGCAAAAGCAGTGTCGCGCAGTGTAGTTGTTACAACGCATACGAGTCCTCACGAATCTCTCGCCGTGGCTAGCTCCGGCTTTGGCTGTCCGTGGGCGGATCGGCGGAACGCAGCACCGGCTTCAGTCGCGCCGCCCTGGACGACGAGGCCAACCGGGAGTTCGTACGCTGCGCCGTCGACTGGCTCCAGGAGTTCGGCTACCAGGGCCTGCTGCTCCACTGGACTTTCCCCGAAGCCCACGAGAGGCACTTCTTGGTGCGCGTCCTCGCCCCGCTCAAGGCAAGTCTTACAATCCATCCGTACACAACAAGACGCGGCTCTGACGTCATGCCGCTGCGGTGGCGCTGCTGTCGACAAGACGCATGCGCACAAGCTTCACCTCCCTTGAATCAGGTTTCTGGGCACGCGCAGTGGTGTGGGCAAACGCAGGCCTGTTTGTAAAAAGCGCGTTCGCATATATATATAGTCACAAACAGGGTGATAAACGTAGGGCACGGCTAATTACCCGCGCAATTTGCTTAATGGTTCGTTCTTTGGCGTTTTTTTGTAGTCTAATGCCGTGATCTCGTTGGCTTTAGAGCGATGATGGGTTAGGCGAAACTAGCCACGTCCTTTACGTGACAAGCTGTGTTTGACTTTAAGGTCGCTGAATGGCGGAGCGTGTTGCCACCGATCCAAGTTGTTTAACGACTGTCAACAAAGCGATTGTTTCTTGTCCGTTGAGTTATCCGTGGAGCCGGGCATTGCAGAGGCTCCGTGTCGAAGTACCGCACATGTGTGAACCCCGTTGTCCTAACCTGACTGGCCATTCAACTTGCCGTAAGGATGACACGTGGGTTCACAAGCGAGACAATAGTTGCACGTACCAAAAAAAACTTCTACCAGCTCGCTTATCGTCTTCACTTTTGCGCCATCTCAGTTCTATCTCGCATCATTGGAACTTCTGGGTAGCGTAATTTGGTGTACATAAAGCTAGCGACCGCAACATGTTATCGCTGGAATACGTTCGAAACCCACGAATCTGTCTCAGAGCTACGAGTAACAGACCCAGTTCGTCCCATTACAATGTTCCTGATGAGAGTGTTCTTCGATCAGGCAATCTAAAGTTCCTTTATACTATAGTCGCAGACAGTGGTCTTAATTAAAATAATGCCGCATTTTCACTGCCTGGGGAGCAATAATCAGATGCTCCGGAGTCGCCTTGTCCTGAGTGTGTTAGGCTGTAGCAACAATAGGTATATACAAAAAAGGCTCGAAAGTGTAAACCGTTATGGCAAGTGTTTCGCAAAGAAATATTATCTTCTGGAGCGTTTTCTTGTGGGAAGGTGATCCAACCGTCGCGCCCTAATGGCTAAATCGAGAACTACACGCATGGGAACAAACAACAACGTAGGTGATTTGTGTTTTGACACAGCGCTCGGGCCACGTGGCCGGACGTTGCCTCACCGTTAAACTGGGGCTCGTCTTCAACCAAAGTACCGCCGAAGAAACGAGTATAAAGCGAGAAGTATAATCATATAAGCACACCCTCTGAGTTTCTTAAGCTGTCGATCACTCTAAGCCCCTTTGTTTCAAGTAACTGCAGCCAACACAAATAAAAAAGCACATTTTGCGAAAACAAAATGGCGCCTTTCAGTTCATTTTGTTGCTATGCGCCGCCGTTTGCTTTGCAAAACCTGCACCGACGCGTTTCCGACTCAAAGAACGTCACTACTTCAAAGCCTTTCAAGGAATGCGCCTTTTATCGAGTAATTTTAAGGCAAATTATCCCGCCGCAACCGTCCGTCCGTCCGTCCTCCAAGAGGAGGTGCCACGATTGTTGTCGTTTGCACAAATACCACTTAGAGGAACGCACGACTTTTGTAACCTATAAAGCACGTGTTATTCTGTTTCTCCTCACTCAAACGCATTTGTCTAAACAATTGAAGAGAAACGGTCAGCGTTTACAACCTAAACTATTAGCCAGGACAAGCAGCCCCGTAATCCGGGGTCGTTTAAATGACCTCAATATTGTTGTCGTTTTTTGTTTTTTTTTTGACATTTACGCGTTGGCGGGTCGATAAAGCACACGGCGTGCACTGAGTCCCAGAGGTTTCGAGGCGGGTGACGCACGTGTACAGAAACCGAGCGACGACGCGAGCGAAAAATTGCGGAGCAGAGCACGTGGTATTTTCGCGACGCATCGCACTGATTGCGATTCAATCGGTGCGATGCAATAGGAAGTATTCACTGGCGGCCATAGCTGTGTGCACGACTGCTGAGCGCGTGCTGATAGCGAGCTTCCACAGTTATTTTGTAACGTGCGTTCCGCACCCTCAAGATTGCCGGTCTTAGCAGCCAATTGATGTGGGCTCGTTCAGAGCATGCGCTCTAGACATCACCCACAAATATGGCGCCCAGTGAATACTCCTTATAGGTACGTATTGGTCGCACCGATTCCAATGCAATCGGTGCGATATCTCATAAAAAACATTTAATTATAACATTTAACGTTGAAGAAAACGTGGCGTGGCCTTTATAATCAGCATGTTGTGTTTTATTTAAGCAGAAACCATAGGTGACTCCTGGACGAAAGAAACTTTTTTGATTATTCACACAGATATATGTAATATCATGCTGCTATATTAAACTTTTCTTGTACCTCATTTGGGAAAAAGAGCCAAATATTTATTTTGTTCAAGCGTTTATAGCAGCATATGCAAAGAAGTCTGCCCAAAACTTCATTGCAGGCATTCGTACAAACCCTCGGGCAGCCCAGGGGCACATAGAACGAGGTGCGCTCCTGGTCTAATGGTGAATTTCTATCGGTAAAGGGCTGTTGCATGAGATCGCAAAGTTTGCTGGTGATTTAAGAACTTATCGACACAAAAACAAGGGCATCGTGTCTAGGGGCACAGTCCTGAACGTGGAGACAGGGCGGCAGTCCTAGCACCTGACAACCGAAGCACATCTGAATTCGTGGCCGGTACCTTTGAGGCGCGGGTGTTGATGTCATCACATATGCACATCTGTCACGCACAGCGCTGGTATAGCTAACCTTTTGAGAAAACATCACACCCACAAATCCGAAATACACGCCCTACACCGTTTGTGAGCAAACGGGCGCCATATTCTTTTTTCTCTCACTGCGTCGCCCCGCGGTGGGAAAATATCAAACTCGGTTTGATCCGAGCGGCGTGGCATCGTTCTACCGCCCGGCACCGACGTCGGTGGTGGTTTCTATGGAAAAACCCCAAGCAGCGACGCGGTGCTACTTGGGGTTTTTCTCACATATTTATGCCACTTTAGGGTCGTGCTATTTTGGTTATGGCAGCGATTAGACACGAGACAATGCCTGCATGCTTCTCGAGCTATTTCATTTACTACCGACATCACCCAGGGGGCATTACTGTAGAGGAGTTCGATAATATAAAGATATAGTTCTGTACTCATACAAAAAACACAGTGTACCAAAGCACAAATATTTCACAAGAGTATGCAATACAAACAGAAATATCGAGAAGAAAAGCAGTGTTTCTAAGCACAAATACATCATAAACTGTAAACTACCCACAAAATGTATAGGAATATTTTGAAGAGAATTATACATTTAATAAAATGATAGACAGCGTTGAATCGGAAGTTTCTTTGACAACATACTCTGGGAGAAACTTCCAGTCATGGATCGGTCTTGGAAAAAACTATTCTTCATTATCACGAGCCCAATCAGTGTAATCACGCAATGCCCGGGTCCAATCTATAAGCTGTATTCAAATATCGCCACTCAGGTGCAATGCCAAAACTACGAACTCCAAGCAACGACATCACGTTTTGTGAAGAACATCTAAGAAAGAAAACAAAAACACTCGCTTTTACTTTTGAAATTAAACCGGAATAAAAACAAATGACCTTGGTCTGTGGCATTGCGTGTGAGTATACTTGAATCTCAATGCTTTCAGAAGGCTCGTCTTAAATAAAAAAAAAAAATTTCCACGCAATGTTCTGCCATCGTTCTTGCAAGAGCAGGTGTCTGTGCAGATTGGTCTTCGCAACCCTGACCTCAAGTTGTTCCCCTGGGCGTTTACGAGCGCGTGTGATCTCAATCCGCTAAATTACACAAATATCAAAGAGCGTATCGTATTTGACGTGTCTTAATGTTAATTTCTAACCTTTTTTATACTTATTTAATCACCTGTGTGCCCCTATAAAGAAACGTTCAATGTGGTGAATCACTTTGTGCACTTCCTTCACAAATGCTTCAGCTGTGACTCGGTAGCGTGTCTCGGTGACTTGATTAGTCCACCGTGCAACGTCAAGAAATAGCACACGTTATCCTTGAATTACTGGCTATTACAAAATTAAGTAATTTTTACACCCTAAATATGTTTATTCATTTGTAACAGGTGAAAAAGTTTGTATATATGAAAGTGCAATTTCAAAGAACTGCATCATGAGCTTGGGAAAAAGAACTGGTCTTGTTTTAGGTTTGATTGCTCTTTTCAATATTACGAAGGTACCGTTTGCTACGTAGTGCAAAGCAAAACGTGTTTGGTTTTGTGAGCTCTAAGTGGTGTACTTATGATTTGAATCAATTCTAAGAATGACAGAGACTTCGGGATGGATCACAGCCATGTTTTTGCTCGAATCGACCCGTACTGCACGACCGGACCACACGAGTCACTGGAGATAATCGTGGTAATGCAAGATGTCCGAAGATGAAAAACACATAACAATATAATGGTTTTTGCAATCTGTCTAGGTAGCTTTGGACATGACGGGTCAGTCGCTGGGTGCCGTGCTTCCGCTAGACGACACGCTGCGCTCACGCTTTGACGCCGAGGCCGTCACGGAACTGCTCGACCAACGTTCCGTACTGATCATCCCCGAAGAAACCAGGGACAGGTCCTTCAACCGGACATTCCTGCCCTACTCAAAGGAGGTGAGTAACCTACGTATGCGCTTCAATGCAATCCTCAGAAAGGGAGTCTGAAATACTGGTTGGCTATTAAACACTCAAAACTAATTGTGTTACTAGCGTTGCTCCATCGGCACCCGACTTTCTTATAAGTTACCGCGAAATATTTTTAGGTGACTTGCCAAAACGATAGCTGACACTGCTCTGAGTGAGCGGCGGAGAAAAGCTCACCGGAGAAAAGCTCACCGGAGATACTCTCACCGAAGAAAAGCTCACCGCAAAACCGCCAGATGCGGAGAAAAGCTCACCGGCCTTTGAGTGGATGCGGAGAAAAGCTCACCGTTTGATTAACTTAGCGGATTCTGCGTCAAACGTGGCAATCTAACACAATTCGCATTCGTCACATTCGTCACTCTTTTTTTGTAATGTTCTTGAAGTTCATTGGGCATATTTACTAATTCCTCAGAAATTAGTAATCACCCATTTTGTATAATAATAAAGCCGCAAGTATAAAATCAGAACATCGTATATCGGTAAAAGAAGACAACAATTTATTGACAACTGACAGTGCGCCGTCGTTAGCTCTGCCAAATATAGAGATTTGTTCTTTGCGAGAAAATATGAATAGCGGTGTGTGAACCGTTTCGGCTTCAAATATTGTGTAGTGCCTAATAGATAAGTAGATGTTAGTTGATGTAATCAATGTCGGCTACACTGTTTTCTTTCTGCTAATTTAACTAACAAAACTTTAGTTGCGAGAACAGCTTCGCCCTGTCGTGTTTGTTGTATTCATTCCGCGCGTCGTTTGAGCGGCTTTCATAATGTATAGCGTTTACCAACTTGTCCTATTCGCTATTTTACAGGAGACTACTTTTTATATAGGTCACGAGTAACAACGGTGCCAGTGTGCAGCTCGGGGGGTCATGAATGGCTCACCGTAGATGTTCACTATCACACATAAGGCAACGTGTCGAAACACCAGCACGAACGGCTAGAAAACGTGCATGTTCGTGGAAGAAAGAAGCCTCGATATCCTACTGACTGTTTTATCCTGCTTTCAAAGCTCAACAGAAGCTTCAAAGAGAATTTCAGGCACCGCGTTGTTGCGCATGCACTTTCGGATTTTCGGCATTTACAGTTTTGATTTTATGGTTTTAGACAGACATTATTAAGTTTTTGAACTTTTTCCTCTCGTCAAGTTTTCAGTTAGGCTTTCGTTGCCTAGAGAGTAAGCCACAAAAAACGCTCACCGGCAATTATTTATTAGGCAGCAATATACCCAATAAGCTTACAAGTAATATGAAAAATGGCATTTTCTTTTTTTACAGAACTGACGAATTTCATGAAAATAAATTGATATATGTTACGTATGATCCAACACCCTCCATATAAAAAGAAGAAAAAAGAATCGGTGAACTTTTCTCCGCATCCGCTCAATGGCCGGTGAGCTTTTCTCCGCATCCGCCGGGTTTGCGGTGAGCTTATCTCCGGTGAGCTTTTCTCCAGCGAGCTTTTCTCTCGTGAGCTTTTCTCCGGGATTCGCTCTGAGTTACTTAATGTTGAAAATCTATAGCAACTGCTTTGCAAAACAGAGAGTGACTTTGGGGCCTTCTGCAGAGGGTTTTCATGAAATCGACCATAGCGATACTCGGTGTGTCTGAATATTTGGCGGAGGTTTTTGTCTGGCTGAAATTAGAGCCTTCAACGTGTTTTCCACATCTAGATGTCCCGAAGCTAAGACTGTCCAACGTTTCTTTGAGAAATCTTCTTAATGTGTACCACTACAATTTTTTGTTGGACGCTTTGATTTGTTGAATAATCCGATCAGCATGCGAGCGAGGATCTGGCAGAAGATAGCACGGATCAAAATGACCATGGTGCAACGCTCCGTTGCACCGCCAACTTAAGGACACAAGCACAAGCTCATTGCTCACTGATGTACTGTCGCGATCAATATGAGTGCGAACACCGCTCTGCGTGGCCCGCGGTACTATCAGTGCCCCCTGTCGACAGCTCTTTGAAGTACACGTGCACCTTGGTTTCCAGACATTTCGTCTCTAGCGATCGCTGCACCATTCGGCACTTTCGGGTTGTGTGCTGCGAAAAACGGTCGGCGAAACCGCGAAACCGTTCACCAATGACAAGTATTTTTCGCTAGCAATGTGTGTCAGCAAAAATAACTTGTATAAACATGTTTAGGTTCATCCTTTTGATTAGGAAGTTTTAGTAGAATATTCCCCTGACTCCGATTACAATACCCGTTAGTTCGCCGACCACTTTAAGCATGCAATATATTGTTATCGAAGGTTTCAAAACAATCAACTAAGCTCGGTAAAAGCTTGGTCTGCTGGCCAAGTTGGTAATTGACATTCATATTAAATATATTGCAAAAAAGACGGGACAAAAATGACGAAGAAGCGCTTGTCCTGTGTGCTGCTTCGCCCTTTTTGTCCCGTCTTTTTTGTGCTATATTTAAAATCAACTAAGACTGCCTATTATTTTCTTCGGGTGAGTTTTGCGATAAGAAAGGACCACCAACTCGCACAGGCAAGAAGTTAGCGCGGTGCGAGCGTGGGTGATACTTTTCATCATAAAAAAACACCGCGAAAGAAACGACGATGACGTTAAGAAACAGACGGGACGTCCTCGTCGTTTTTATCGCGTTGTTTTTATGATGAATTCCCACCCAACTCGCCCAAATATCCATTCTTTTAAATGATACCCTTCGCTCCTTAGCACTGTAAAAGCAACATGACACAGCATAAAGTTCAGTGTCGCTGCGGGTTATCGTTCGATAACCGGACCACTACTTTGCAGCTCGAACGCATTTATCAGGGGAATAGTCTACTAAAACTTCCTAATCAAAAGGATGACCCTAAAAATATTTATACAAATATTTTTGCGGGCGCACATTGCGAGCGAAAAATTATCTTCGTCATTGGTGAACAGAGGCCAGATTCATAAAAAACCTCTTACCTACGACAACTTAGCTACGAAGTTCGTAAAGTTACGATCATCGTAAGATGAGGCGAAAACGGTATTCACAAACGCGTTCTTAAGTGAGAGGAGGAAAGTTACGACCTCTTACGGAGAAACGATGACTTCCGGTGCTGTTGCTATGGCAACGGCGTCTTCGGCAAAACGAACAACCAATTAGAGAGCTAGGCATAGTTCGGAGCACGTGGATTTTTAATAACAAACACAGGCTGACCACTCGTTGATAGACAGCTCTGTGTATGTCCTGTCCTGTCTGTGCAAGGAGGTTTGTGTCTGTGTGTAAATGTTTAGTGTTCAAGCTGATTCTTATAAACACGGGTGGCCTTTCCACCACCACTTGTCTGGGGTTCGTGTCCGTGCAGTGGTATATCGACGCTAACACGATTTAAACGCCTCGTTGACTGCTACAAACTCGATCGCTACGAAGTCAACACAACTGTCATCGTTGGTAAAAGACCCGTGCCAGTCGTTTGCAAAGCGACGTAGATGGAAACAAACCGGCGCGGCGTTTCTCGCGGCCTCGGAAATGCAGGAGTGAGCCGACGTTAAAAAAGATACGTTTGAACTACGAGAGTGTCAGCAAGAGTCACGCAAATACCTGTTCACACTCGGAGCGGACGCGTGCGTTTGATCGAAGTGCTGGATTCAGACTGCGTTTCGGTAAGCGCTTCGGGACCGATCTTCTACGATTGCAACTCGATACTGACGTGACACTCGGCAAAGAAAGGTTGGACCGGCATCGCGTAGCTCCCACAAACTGATATAGCTCGACAGTTAAAAATGGCATACTAATAACAAAGTGTACATACCGTGTTGCGAAGGTAATCCACACGGCGTTTATTTGAGCTCTATATCACACTAAACAAAAAGATAGAATCGAGGAGTCCCTTTTCGACGACAGCGTTCGTCACCTCTGCCTCGGGAAACAAGGTGATCGAGATGATAAGGGGAATAGGTTGACCTCTGAAATTTAGTTCAGCTATCAAACTTTTCGTACGGGGAGGGTCCACAAGGGTCGCGCGGGCATATTCCATTCAGCAAGCCAGCCGGTCGTGGGCAGACAGTCTTGGCCAAGCACCGGAATGGGTCAGAGTGCCTGCTAGGCCTATATATTCTGCCGAGCTCGCTTGGTCGGTTGGATCGTTGCCTTTGTTGCCGTTTCCGGGTGTCTGTGGATCCAGCGTTCATGTTCGTCGTGGTCGGTTTCAAGCACTTGATTTTTTTCTTGCTGCTTGAAGTTTGGACGCGCAAGAAGAGCAGGTAGAAAAATAAATGTCCGTTGGTAGTCGCGACCGCGCAACTGAGCGACGTTGTCGGCCATGTTAATTTGATCGTAGAAAGTGCGTAAGACAGCTTCGGAGCTGTCGTAGGATTTTGTCGTAACCTGCGCAAAAGTTACGACAATTTCGTTTCGAGAATACGGATTTTCTCTCAAATTTGTCGTACGCATTTTTTTTCGTCGTAAGTTCGCTTTGAGAATCCGGCCTCAGTTTCGCGGTTTCGCCGGCCGTTTTTCGCTAGCAGACGACCCGGAAGTGCAGAGTGGTGCGGCGACCGCTAGAGGCGATACGTCTCGAAACCAAGCCAAGGTGACCAAGCTGCACGTGTACTTCAAAGAGAAGTCGACAGGGGCACTGATAGTACCGCGTGACACGCGGAGCGGTGTTCGCACTCATATTGATCGTGGTAGTACAGTGCTCTTCAATCTTATCCGGAACACGCGAAGGGTGTATTATATCGCGAGAGTGCTATCCTATCGGCGGCCGAAGCGTTGAACGCATTGAGCGCATTGCATGACAATGCACTCAATGGAACGGCCCAAACATGGGAGTCCAATCGCTAGACCATGGGCACCCAGCAGTTTTGGCTGCCGACCAATATATACTTTCGAAGATGAATAAGTGACTTTAGAAACAGACAGTGACTGGATGAATAATTCAGGAAGCATTTGATGTTTGTATCGAATGAGGTTGGAAAGTGTAGATCGACTTGAAGGAAAAGTGGCTGTGTTGTCCCCTGTCCAGCAGCTCTTCCGGCCTTGAACGAACATCTTCCCCTGCTCGGACTGCTCTATTGAGTGCAAAGTAGTTCTTCGGCTGCCGCCAGGATAGCCCTTTCATGAGATAAGACACATTTCGTGTGTTCCGCTTGATAAGCTTAAAGTGAGTAGTGCCATTGCCTTCCCGCCTGTTAGCCTGACACGAACAAATACCAATATACAGACGACAAAACCTCTCAAGGTGATTGGCTCATTGCTGTCGGTTGCCATGGTGATCGCCATTTCGGACCTTTTCAGAGCTTCAAAGCTTCGAAAGAATCGTTAAAACTAGTTGCACCAAGATTGCTATGGAGCATCATCGTGCTGAAAGCGTTCCCCGACCAATATGAGCGTCTTTGGCACTCCGCGTGCAATAAACTTATTACTCATGCTTATTTCCCTAACAGTTATGTTACTCTTCTTGCGTGTTTCAAGACAGTAAAATTATTTTTCAATGCCTACAAGCACTGGCGTTGCGTTTAATGGCGGTACGAAGATGGACGGCATCACACACTGCGTCAGTGCTTGGAGGCGTTTAAAAAATATTTTACTTTCTTGAAACACGCAAGAAGAGCAACACACAAGCATGAGTGTTGCTCTTCTTGCGCATGCACAGTGCCAAAGACACTCATATTGGCCGAGGAACGCTTTCAGTACGATGATGCTGTGTAGCGATCTTGGTGCGACTGGTTCTACCGACCCTTTCGTAGCTTCGAAGCTTTGAAAGGGTCCAAAATGGCGGTCACCATGACAACGACAGCGATGAGCCAATCCCCTTGAGAGATTTTGTCGTCTGTATATTGGTATTTGTTTGTGTCCGGCTGGAAGATGAGAAGGCAATGGCGCTACTTTCTCAGATCCAGTGACTTTAGGTAAGCTTAGAGGGCACTGGGAACTGAGCAGCAGAAACTCTTGCGCAAGAGTGGCTACCACCAGAACCTGGATTTCTATCCATTGCGGCGGTATGAAGGGGAAACGAAGTGTAAATCTGTCGGCCATTGATCTCGGCAATCTTCGTCAAGTATACAACCAGTCTGCTGCAACTATAATGTTCTTGAATGTTGAAATTCTGTGAAGGCGTAGTTCAAGAACAAAGCTTGGCAGTGAGTCACTTTACATCTAAAAGTCCCAGAGTTAATACAATCAGAGGTTCATTTGAAAAGTTTCATTAAGTTACCTTCCATGATATGCTTTGGGTTTACAGACTATGTGAAAGCTTTTGATCGGCACAATATCAAAGCTATGCCAGTGTGCAACTTAAAATCAGTGTTGCCCAGATTTAAGATTGTCGGAAGTTCTTTGGAGGAATTCTATTTCCTACCATTAAGGATGGCTTCAATATGACGTCACCTCACCAAGCTGGTGGTCATTCTGGGTCATTCATTCCTACACATTCTTCCCGAAGGAAACAAATTCAATGTCAAGAGTGAAATTTATGTTGCAGAAGGTACGCTCAGCAAGTCCACTACTACGACCGCTGGTGTAATGTCAGTGCAAGCAACACATTAAATCCATTGTGTTTGTAGATTTGAAGAAGACTTGGACCTTCTCACGACCAAAGTTTTGGACGCGATTTGCACCTAATGAAAATGGCCTACATTTAAAAACTTTAAACTTTCATCTCGATACCTTTTTATTAAGTTTACAACTAGAAGATTTGTTGATTGTTTAGATTTCATCAGATCTTTTACGCACTCAACACCTGGCGTTGACAAAGAGTTACCCTAGATCAGGCTTTATTCCAGATACTTGGCGAAAAATTCGACGAGGATTTCGGCGGCCGTGATGAGCCAGCACCAAGGTCAAGCGCGGCAATGGCCAATCACGGCCGCCGGATTCCTTGCCGATGTTTCGCCAAGTGCTAGATTAGAGACACGGGACTATCAAGAGTGATCTATAACAGGTGCTCGAGCAGTACGCGCGAGCGTCTCTCGACCTCGGTTCCTCGCACGAGTCATGCTACCTGGTGTCTCTGAGTGGGACCTCCCTGGCGCTGCGCAACAGCGACCACTGGGACGTCGGGGACGCCGCGGAGGGCCCCGGGGTCATCGGAGGCGCTCGTCTCGGTCAGGTGGCCTTCGACGACATCTGCGTCCGACACTGGATAGGATCTAAGGTAGGCAGCACATCAGTATTACTGAGGACCAGTGATGTGAGTGCCAAAGAAAATATCGATCATTGTGTATTGTATTACCCTAGTGAAATGATTATTGTAGATACATTAGGCACCCGAGAAGCTAAAATTCCTTGCGACAGAGCGCACTGAAACTTACTCCGTAAGCTTGACTCTTGCCGTGCTTGCAAGGTAGCAAGGTTGCATGGCATTATTTTATCAAAATAGGCTAGCGCATGTGCCTCGTAGTCCAAAGATACCAAATCTGCAGTACCAAGTGCTTAATGTATGATAATAATGTACTGCTAGGGGCGAGTTTGAAATGTCAGTCGTGCCAATTATTGCTATCCTGTAACAAAAGAATTATCAAGGGAGTCTACTAGTGTCTAATTTTGATAATATAATTGCTTATTTCTTCAAAAGTACAATATGGTTCAAACGCATTCCTTCCAAGGGTTTGAGAGCAATAAAACATTAATCGATGCTTTCTTGCTAAAACAATTAGGATAACAAAACCCCACCTGCCCAGAGTGTGAGTGCATGCAGTTTAAATACGCGTGAAAGAAAAATAGTTCTGGTTCTCCGTTGTTTAATTGGGCCTTGCAGAATTCCCCCTTATTCCTCGAAACGAGGGAAGGGCGCGCGTTTCTCACCGATTTTCGCAACAACACTCAAAAGTGTCGAGCTAAGCAACGGTTTTTTACTAGGAGCGTTTAAACACTTTTCCCACCGCGCCCATAGGCCATCAATCACCGGTGACCGATGGTTTCCAAGCGCTCTCAAGAAATAAATTTTGTGCGGAGAATTAGTTTCCACAATCTCGTGGATAGCCGAAGAACTGTAGTATCAATTTCAACATAGGTTTGAGCTTCATCGCAAGTTCGTGAACTGTCATAAATAGTCTTGGGAACGATGGTTGCGCCTGTCTAACGCGGCTAACTGCTTGCATCAGTCTTTGTAACAAAGATGGCGTTATTCATATAATTCAACTGTACTGTAATATATTTTTTAGACCTCAAGAGCTCTGGGGACACACTAAATGATGGTATAAGCCTCCCTTAACAGATGGTTTTCGGTAAGCATCACTATAATTTTCTATGTTGTCCTGAGTCGGCGTGCACGCTTTATGTTCAAAACAAGGCGGAGAAGAACGCTAAATATAAAGGAACTGCTATCAAAGTTATGACAAAACCAAGGTAAAACACAAAGAGAGCATTCTGCTAGGGATTTGAGACGTTCTATCTGTGTTTCACCTATATAAGCATTCCTTCGTTGAAAAACGCACGTGTTACAGAGGTTAACTCTCAGACAAAACAAAAATGGACAACGTCCCTTAAAGTACACCAACTTTCAAAAGTAATAGCCGTGTGCGTGGAGCACATTTTGTGTCTTCTAAATTGTTTGTATTTTTCTTGTTTAATTTGAATAGTCGTAGAAGTGTCGGCATTTATACAACTTCCGCGAATACTTTGTATTTTGAAACAATAAATTTTTAAAATACTTTTTTTCCCATTATACTAACCTCAGTTTCTTTTGACAGAAGAACTAATTGATCACGTTTTGATATGGCCATTTGCTCCATACGCAAATTAATTGGGAAAATATAAGCGTTTGGACGGAGATATTGAAAACTGCTACTTTTCCTATGGTCAGGAAAGAGGTCAAGAGGGCAGAACCGTGCTGAACGATTCGTTCACAACTTTCAGTAGACTTGACAAAATGTCTTTACATCAGCCGCAACTATGTGGTATTTTAGAATATTGTCTGGGACGATGTCATCTCGTCAAGCACTCAATGTAGCTCAAATAAAAAAAAAATTAAAAAAAAAAACATTTTTTGTTTTACTAGTTACAGATATAAGTGCTCCAAGAACCGCATCAATGAATGTGACAATTTTTCTTACTTCTAGCAATGATGACTATATGTACTAATGTGGTTTAAACCCCCTTTCTGGTGCCTGATACACGCATGATCTGAGTGGTGTGTTCGCACGTTTTTTCTTGTTGTTGGCCCCTGGATAGTTACCTGGTTACTCGAAAAATGAGGAACGCTTCAGATCTTTGCGATCCTGCTGGTGGCAAGACAGTAAAAGTGAATATAAAATACCCCTGTTCCGCAATTTTTTTGTTTTTTTTTAGCGGGGTTATTTGCCCCATATTTAGATAGCCGCGGGTTCGAACGCCGCGTCACCAGCGCAACCGAAGCCAGCCCATTTGACTATACTACGTTGTCACGTCTCCAATCAACCACCAGAATCGTGACAATTTCTATAGTCCGTTTCACCTTATATTGTACCGCAGCGAAGTCTAGAAGCGCGAGCTCGTAGCGTTGGCAACAGCCCTTAGTGCACGAGAGCTTGTGCCGCCGAGACGTGCCCTAGAGCAACGAGCTCGCGCTTGTAGCCTTTCCTGCGGTACATCATAAGGTTAAATGGAGTATAGTGGTCGACAGCTTCTCCCCTGTGAAGCACTTCTTTTTTTACAGCGGAGCTGTTAAGGGCTATGTTCCCCAGGATCGTGTCCACCAACAAAAAAACAATGACACCAAACTCTGGACAGTTACCGCCATTTATGAGCGACGGCGACAGCCAGACAAATGTTTGCCGCCGTCGCTCATAGATGGCGGCAACCTTTTTTCGGAGGAAGAAGAACGGGAGCGGAACGAGGCGGCGACGTGCGCAGCAGCACGAATTGCTCCGCAACCGCCGCGAGGCGGCTGTCGGTTTAAGTTCCACTGGGTCGAGCACTTTAGATTCCCTTGCAAAAGAAGAGCAGATTTCTCGCCTGGAAAGCCACCGTCGAGAACAGAAGCTACAGCTCCTCTGCTCTTCCTCCTTCACCAGATTGGAAAGGCTGAATTTTTTTTTTTCTCAGAAATGTTTGAAAACTTTGGTGCTCCATAGGACGCTAAATACGCCATTTGAAAAAAGCGTTTGAGACACCATAGTCTTAAGCCCCAGTCACACTGCACAAATCTGATACAAAGAGACACGGAGTTTCTCTGTAGACATGATGACCAATAATGTGCGGATACGCCTAACGCATATTTCAAGCATGTTAGCTTCATGTTGGCGTCAAACATTCCTGCAGACAGTGTTTGTATACGGTCAACGGACAGTGACCGTCAAACAAGGAAGACACGCGCCTTGGAGAGTCAAAATGGTGGATACTTGGGCTAGTTGGTGGTTGCTATACATAATTAAACAGCGCACAAGGAGAGGGACAGAAAAGGAAGACAGAACAGGCAAGCGCTGACTCGCAACTGACGATTTACTATGAAAAGGAGAAGGAAGAAAACTACACACATGAACATATATCGGAAAAGAGAAAGATGTGAAAAAGCTAATAAATTAAATAAAATTACACCTAAAATAATTATAGCTGAAAAGGAAAAACAAAATAAAATGAAAATCAATCTCTCAAAGTCCTAGGCATGTCCAGTGCCGGCACTCCGAAGCCTTGACCATACACCTATTTGTGCGCAGCTGCCCCCATAAACTCATACTCGCTGTCTTGTAGTGTTAATGATGGCTGGCTCACACATTTGGATTCGAGCTTTCTTATCCAAAAGGCTTCCACTATTTCTCTTGTTGTTTTTTCTTTATGGGAAGCTAGAACAGTTGTTGCACAAAAATCTGGATCACATCCACAGGTTCTGCAGTGGATGGCTAGGTGGCTTCCAGTGGTGGTTTGAAGAGACTGTTTATGTTCCCTCAAGCGGTCGTTGAGGCAACGCCCAGTCTGTCCGACATAGGTTTTCCCGCAGGACAGAGGAAGATGGTAAACCACTTGTAGAATGCAAGACACAAAGTGCACCTTGTGGTTTTTCATGCAACAAGCCCTGCTGTCATTGTTCTTGTCCACAAGCGTGCAAATTCTACCCAGTTTGTTTGGGGCTGAAAACACCATGGGCACGTTGTATCTATTGGCAACATTTTTTAAGTTGTGCGACGTCTTGTGGATGTATCCACAAGACGTCGCACAGCTTAAAAAATGTTGCCAATAGATACAACGTGCCCATGGTGTTTTCAGCCCCAAACAAACTGGGTAGAATTTGCACGCTTGTGGACAAGAGCAGGGCTTGTTGCATGAAAAACCACAAGGTGCACTTTGTGTCTTGCATTCTACAAGTGGTTTACCATCTTCCTCTGTCCTGCGGGAAAACCTATGTCGGACAGACTGGGCGTTGCCTCAACGACCGCTTGAGGGAACATAAACAGTCTCTTCAAACCACCACTGGAAGCCACCTAGCCATCCACTGCAGAACCTGTGGATGTGATCCAGATTTTTGTGCAACAACTGTTCTAGCTTCCCATAAAGAAAAAACAACAAGAGAAATAGTGGAAGCCTTTTGGATAAGAAAGCTCGAATCCAAATGTGTGAGCCAGCCATCATTAACACTACAAGACAGCGAGTATGAGTTTATGGGGGCAGCTGCGCACAAATAGGTGTATGGTCAAGGCTTCGGAGTGCCGGCACTGGACATGCCTAGGACTTTGAGAGATTGATTTTCATTTTATTTTGTTTTTCCTTTTCAGCTATAATTATTTTAGGTGTAATTTTATTTAATTTATTAGCTTTTTCACATCTTTCTCTTTTCCGATATATGTTCATGTGTGTAGTTTTCTTCCTTCTCCTTTTCATAGTAAATCGTCAGTTGCGAGTCAGCGCTTGCCTGTTCTGTCTTCCTTTTCTGTCCCTCTCCTTGTGCGCTGTTTAATTATGTATATGCCTTGGAGAGTGTTTGCAGACTGTGTTTCGCATGACGTATGAGCAGTGCTACCGCGGTTTTACGACGCAGGTGAAGAAGTACGGGGTGATCTCTCGGCGCGGAAGCCAGTGGGTGGGCTACCTGACGGAGGACACGCTCCGGGACTTCCTCTCCGACGTGGCCATCTCCACGGGGTCCCGGGGCTGCCTGGGCGTCGCGGACCCGGAATGGGACGACTTCTCGGGCGTCTGCCAACCGGGCAGCCCTTACCCGCTCACCAAGGTCGTCAGCGACGCGGCCCTCACTATCAAGGTACACCGAGCCGCCGAGCCCTATTGCGACAGTCTTCTACGAGCTTGAAGGAACCGTTGAACGATATTTGAACTTCGGAATAATATATCTGCAACTTTTAGTAGAACTGCATACGAACCTTTTATTTCTCTTTCTGATTTGTACAAAAAGAAAAGGGAAACTATAAAAAAAAAAAGATCTGCTGTTTCAGGTTGACGACGTCTTGTCTGCAATGGTCGTGCTTACACGCGTTAGATTTTGAAGTTTCAGATTAGACGTATGTTTTTGCGCAATATCGCTTAGGTTTAGCGCAGCCGAAGTGTAACGTGCGTAGTGACCTTCAAAATTGTTTTTTAGTTACACTAGGCAACACCTCGTAGATGGTAAGGCCGTATAGTGCTGAAATTCCGGCACCGCCTTAAAGGAGGCCCACGCGGAGCATAGATTGGAAATGAAGGCTGCGTCCGCGTTTGTCTGGCGTGTTTAATCATTAAGAAAACTTGGATGACGCTTAAGGCTCCGGCTTTAAAAGTCGAACGCTATAGCATTATCGGGCCCCGTTCCCATCGCCTCCTCATTAGCCGCGCAGGCGTGCCTTGCGTGGCCTAGTCAGTAACGTATCTGACTCGCAACCTGAGGATCATGGGACCAAATCCCGCCTAAAATACTTTACATTTTCCTTTAAGGCAAGTGAATTACTTTATAAAGTGAAATATTTTGAGACATACGGCGACTTTTAATTTGCTCGCACGTCATGTATTAATCACTTTATTCCACGCGTGACGTCACTTCTCACGTGAGTGTTGTGAGTTGTTTGAAATTCTCGCGCGTGGTCATGTGATTGTGACGTCATGACCCTGTCGACCAATCAGAATTCCTTTGCGTAACGCCACTGAAGCCGGCTTTTCATTTTTTTAGACACTAGCTCATTAACACTATCGCGTTAAAAACGGTTCCCAATGAAACGGCAACACAGCACTGATGTCCAATCTATGCCCTGAGTCGTCCTCCTTCAGGCGACGCTGAAAACTCAGAAATTCGCCCTTGTTATCAAGAAGGTGTTGCCCTAACGGGCACCATACTAGAGCTAAGAATTCTCGCATGCAAAGTGAGCGGCATCTATATACCACCTATCTTCTAACCTTCCGCTAGGGTTTGCGGACGTCGTCCGAGGCAGAATCGCTGACATCCAAAACCAGCACCGCTGAGCAGACAGCAACGACCGCGTCCACTCGAAAAGAAGAAAGCCATCTCGAACCCACCTGACTCCGGCCTTCTGTCGACGGCAACTGCACATGCGCCTCCTCCAGAGCTGATGCATACTTTGGGATATTTATTTCTTTAAAATCACGGAATATTTGCAACTAGCTTTAGATATACGATATATTTTCTTCTAGTAACGTATAATTCCACCGTCTAAACTTAGTTATATCTATGCTAGCAGCCGGACACTTGTCCTCAATGTTTACAGCCTGGACACAAACTGGCTTTCTGAAATTTAAGCACTTCTTAAATTTATACATTTTTCGTTTTCAAGCCATTTTCTTTTCTAGTATTTCGCTGAACCATACATTAATAATCGTGTATGTGCGTTACGCTAGAGGTACGTCTAAATCAATCGGGACATTCCTTTGGTGCCTACAAGTGGTCCGCAGAGGAGGAGCAAACACCTATCATACACTTCAAGTGCAGATAAAAAGAGATTTCACCATAGAAATCTGGAAGAAAAAGTCCACTTATATCTTAGAAGGGGTACAAATGGGTACATCTTAGCTTTTTCCCCTTAATATCCTTTCCCGAAACACTACGAGTTTATCCGGTTTAGAAATACTCTCCAACTATGAACCCCGATAAAAACAAAAGAGAAACGATGATCGTAACCCGCTCTAAAAGCAAAATAAAAAATAAAAATAAAAAAAAAAAAAAAAAAAAAAAACGTGGCGTGTCCGCACCAACGAGCCGGTGTTTCCCTCGACACCGCGCGCCTCCTCCAAGCACTCTGTCACCCTTGTCTGGCGAGTAGCCGTATATTCTAAAAAAAAACAAAAAAATCAAAAGACAGAAATCTACCCAAATGCGTAGTCACCGACGACGCACCGCGCTTCCGCAGATCTTCTTCTCGCTTCCACAGATCAAGCGGCCCAGGCAGCCAAGCCCAGAAGTGAGACATAATCCTCTTTTAAAACAGCGGCCGACACAAAGAGAAATGGGCGCCGTTCTCCTCCCTAATGCAATTTAAAATAATTACGTCCGTCCAGCCGTGCCTAACCTGGCGGCCGCTGCCTGCGCGTCTAAACCTCGAGCGCACGCCTAAGTCCATTACAAGGCGCCCCGCCGTGAAAGCCGCTTACAGGAGAAGCCGTCCAAAGCCGCGCTCATAACCCGGACCGAAGCCGACGCTACAACGCAACTTGGCCAATCGTACGCAGGAAACGCCTTACGTCACAACCTTGTCAACCCAGCTGAACCAATGAGCTGCCGACGATCATCTTTATCACTGAGACCTTCAGTCCGTGGGGCCAATTGAGGGGCTGAGGTTGTGTCGTGACGCTGCGCGTTGCGGGTGAAGACGTGTGTGTCTGTGTGTGTGTGCGTGGACTTCGCTTCAGTTCGTCTCCAGTGTCTGCGAAGTGTGGAAGCGGGACCCGCAAATTTGCATGCGCCAAATCTGGCTGCTCCTCGCTTCTTGCCGCGAGAACCATCTTAGAAGCCGCCGCCTTCGCCGCCAAAGTGCACCCAAGCGTTCGTCAAATACCGAAACCGATGTCGCGTAAAAAAACGAGACTCCGACGACCCCAAATAGAAAGGTTTTTTTATTACTACTGTTTTTGGTTGCGTTTTTTTTTTTTTTTTTTCTTCAAGTAATTTGAGGTAACCACGAGACTCTAGTAATTATGGTACTTGCGTTCGGCTTATGCGCGCCGAGGAGAGTCTTAATGAAGTCATTTTATCTCTTACGTGTTATCTGCTCTACTACGCCTTTTCTTTTTCTTTTTTCTTGTTTCCAAGCAATCCAAAAAATGGGTATTCATAAAAAAAATGTAGGGCGAAAGTTTCCTTGCATGTTTCTGACTCCTGTGCTTCAAAGGACAGGTAAGAATAGCTAATTGGCCGGTCTTAGCTCTTTGCGGTCAAAAACTACGTATAAGGTGGTCTAAAAGCAACGCGTGCTAACAATGTTACAATCATCCATCTCATAAATGTGTGCAGTAAACAAAAAGGCACAGGCTCAGCAGGATGTTTTTGTTTGTACATAGGAGGCACACCGCAAAGCCACGAGCTTGTGCCCATGCCTTGTTCTGCACTGTAGATGTTTGCGAGATGGAGTTCATACGGACATTTTCTACGCGGCCTTCGCCATCTTGACCGGCAGAAATTTTTTGTGTCGACGAAAACATCGTTTTGCTCTCGCCATGCCAATGGAAGCTGTTCTCGTTATAAGCGTAAGGCTGAGTCGCTCTTGCGCTCGTCGCCTATCTTATAATCGTTATCAGATTTTTTTTTTCTAACGTAAAATTGGGGTTCGGCGTCGATTAAAAATTTAACTCGATAAATCGCCACCCTTTAGTTTATTAATTAGTCAATTAATCGGTTTCGTTTATTCTCGTGCATAATAGTTCAAAAAGGTAAAAATTATATCGATAGTTTTTAGTGAATCTGTGATAAGCAGCAAAATGTAAAATTTCGCATTTTAAATCCACCTTGAAGTGAAGTTGAGGAAATTCAAAAGATGCCCAAACTCACAATTCACTACTTCAGCCGCAGAAGCACAGAGCTTCGTTGATAATCTCCGGCAATAGCGAACTGTCTTCATTGTTCACGATAGTCTCCGCTACTCTAAACGGACACTCGCACGGCGTTGAATTGGATGGGACACGTATAACCTTATCAAATTATTCGGAGTTACAAATTTGGTCCCTAAGTTTACCTTAGTTCCAAATTTCACTTAAAGTTTACCTTCATAGAGGAGGAGTACTCCTCGTCTGTCTGGTCAAGCCGTTGAATGTTAACTTCTACTTTGATAGCCAAGATTTCACTAATTAACAGGTAAAAAATTAATCGCGATTAAAGCACTAATCGATTAATCAGTAGGTTAATTGATTAAGTATCCAGCCCTAGTTGAAATGTATCAATCTTTACTGCGACCACTTTTACTGGCGAACTTTCGCATGAGATCACCAAGGCGTGCTTCCCGTAGGCTCGTACTGGCTGTGAAATGTATCCCCTAAATTGACTGTAAACTTTCACCCATCTAAAATTTATCGCAAAAATTTATCTGCTACGTTTAGAGGGGAAAAGTTCTCCCACAAGCGTCAACGTGACACTTGGCGTTACTTGACACCATTTCGCCACGCGACACTGCAACGCTACATGACGTCATCATGTCGAGGGATGTCATAGTGGGACGTAAGCCCGCGAAACTGGTGCCTGTTTACCACATGCTTTGGTCCTATGGTCACATGGTCATTACCTCCCCGCCAGCTTCGGCAGAAAACTTTTCCCTCTACATTTAGCTTATCGCCCATGGCAAGGGTGGAAAACTGGCGATCGGCTGGTGTTACGTGCCACATACGTAAGCGTGTAGACATTTTGTTTTTCTACGTGGCAAAGAGTACAAAGCAGACCCAGCGCTACTCCATTAAAGGGACCATGAAACGATTTTGAAATCGAACTTCAACCACCGCACGTCATAGAAAGTGTGAGAAGAAACCCAAAAATCCAAAAATAGAGAGCCAAAAAAATGTTTCGTATAAAACTTAAAAAAAAAAAAAGAAACGGACTCTTTTGCACCTTCTATCCTTCGAAAGCTATCTGCCTTTTCACTGCGATGCATCCACGGAACCGCAGCACGTCAGCCAAATCCACGTCGCCTATTGGGTAAGAGCCTACCTCACCAGCACCGCCATCATAAACAATAAATAGCCGGCGAATTTTTCCTAAAAGTTTTTTTAATAGTATTCAGGTCTACATTTTGTAGCATACTTAGAGTGTGACGAAAATTGCCGAATTTGATATGTATGTATATGTATTTCTCGCGGCAATTGCTCTTTTTAACGAGCGTCTATGTA